CATCTAACTTGTAAAATGTGTCTTTGGCACTGCAATGACCGGAGCTCAGGGGAAAGGAAGGGGAAGAGGGGAACGAGAGGAGGGAGAAGGGAGAGGGGGAAAGAGAACTGAACAAAACAACGAAGACAGCGAACTTCAAAGACCAAGTTTGGCTCAATGAGACGAAGCGGAGAGTGATATATTATCAAAATAAGCCTAGTCTGCCAAAACTAGTAGGAAAAATCATCAAAATAAGTTCAGATACGGTCAGAAATTGTCGAAAAGGAACAAATCTTTTCTCGGATGGGTTTTCTGGTACTTGTGGTGCACAAAAAAACATTGAATATGCATGATTTCACATCAAATTTGATGGCAAGTAAGCATTACCCACATACACTCAACTCAGAGAAACATCTGCACTGACCATAAATAACACATAGTGTTACTGTACCGTACCGATCGATATGTGCTACTCACGGGACAAACATGACTTCTGGCGACCTTCGGCGAAATGATGCACATGTGCAGTGCTGAAAACATCGAATTTTTCATCCAATTGGTCCTCCTTCAAATTAACCTAAGAAAACGAAACATTAGAATTTAGAAGACTGCATAATTTACTAAAAAAAAAATGAAAAAAAAGTTGGTAATCGAAATATTTTAAGAAAACGGCACCAAAATGAAATTACACTGCTAAACAGGAATGTTTCGATCCTTGAAGTAAGCATATACAATTCGCATGCATTTGTGCATATTTTCGAACGACCAAGGTCCGGCGATTTGCAACAACTCAGAAGAGCATAATTCAACGGAGAGAGGGTGATAATACAGCAGCAAACCAGGGGAAATGGTCCCAACACTGTGCGAAATCGGTTCAACCGGAAAGTTCTTGGAATCGCTGGAAATTTTATTCCCATGATAAATTTTTCACAAAAATTGAGTACCATTTAGAGATGAAATCGCAGTACCGTCGAAAAGAGTTCACTGCACTGACAGCCTGACCTTCGTCCAGCGAGAAATCAGACGCACCTTCAATGTGCTTCTTTCTGATAGTCCTCATTCAGCATCATCCGCTCATATTCGAGCTCCTGCCGGAAATAGGCAATCGTTTTGAGCAGGCCATCTCGCATCGAGACCTCCGGTTTCCAGTTCAGCTCCTCGGCCGCTCGTGTGATATCCGGTTTGCGCTGTCGTGGATCATCCTGCTGCCCGGGCTTGTGCACAATCGCTGAGCTGCTGCCCACCAACTCACGTATCAGTTCGGCAAACTCATTGATCGTTTTCTCCTCGGGATTCCCGAGATTCACCGGGTCGGTGCAATTGCTTGCCATCAGCTTGATCAGGCCGGCCACCAAGTCGTCGACGTACTGGAACGAACGAGTCTGCTTACCATCGCCGTAGACGGTGATGCGATCGCCGCGCAGCGCCTGCAGGATGAAGTTGCTCACGACGCGCCCGTCGTACATGTGCATGCGGGGCCCGAACGTGTTGAATATGCGTGCGATGCGAATGTCCACCCTCTCCTGGATGTGGTAGGCGACCATCAGCGACTCGGCGACGCGCTTGCCCTCGTCGTAGCAGGAGCGCGGCCCGACCGTGTTCACGTGGCCCCAGTAGGTCTCCGGCTGCGGGTGCACCTCGGGGTCGCCGTAGATCTCGGAGGTGGATGCGAGCAGTATGCGTGCCTTCAGTCGCCGGGCCAGGCCCAGCATGTTGATGGTGCCGATGGTGTTCGTCTTGATCGTCTTCACCGGGTTGTGCATGTAGTGCGGCGGGGAGGCCGGCGAGGCCAGGTGGTAGATCTCGTCCACCTCGGTGAAGTAGGAGTTCACGACGTCGTGGTGCACCAGCTCGAAGTTCGGGTGTCCCAGCCAGTGCTCCACGTTCTGCCGGCGCCCGGTCTGGTAGTTGTCCAGCGCGATCACCTCGTGCCCGGCCAGCATCAGGTGGTCCACCAGGTGCGAGCCCACGAAGCCCGCCCCGCCGGTCACCAGGATGCGCTTCCTGCTCGCCTCGTTCTGGTACTTCACGCTCATATACCTACCGTTGCCCGTGCGCTGTGCGCTGCTCCTCGGTGTCGGCGCAGGCCTGCGCCTCCTCTTCAGATGCGCCATTTCGCGGTGCAGCCCGCGCACCTGCGCCTGCAGCGCCTCGATGGCCGACTGCTCCTCGTGCAGCCTCTGCTGCAGCCTCTCCAGCACGGGATCTGACGGGGGCGCGGCAACCCACTGCTCAGCCATCCGCGGCGGCGCAGGAGGCCAGTGACAGGAGAAGAGGAAATTGTTGAAGAGCAGCAGCAGAACGAAGAAACAGCCCAGAAGTGCCAAATTCCGATAGAAGCACGCCCCGGAGAACGGATTACTCATACGCAGACGTAACCAGTAACACCAGATTACTACAGCGATATCCAACAGTACCCGAGCAAACAGCCCACACCACCCGCCTCGCAACACGTTAATCACTGAATCAACGAAGCTCGGCTCAGCCCTGCCGCGCAATAATGTATACTGTCTGTGGGTTTTGATGCGAGCTGCGAAACTCGCAGTCCCATGTAATTAATTGCCGGGTTTTTAGGCGTTTTTGCATATGTGCAAATGCAATAAATAGCGGCACGCACCAGAATAGCTGGTACGATTATGCGTTTTGTGCAATTCCGTTCGCCGAATGATTCCCTGTTAATGATTTTCACTGCTTTACGCTTTGGCCTGTGCAAAAATAGTTGAAATGTTGAAAGATAGTTAAAAATTTCACGCACCGGCACCAGAAAGCTGAGGGTGAGACCTCGAAGAATCAGTGTCCTTTCAAATTCTCAATTTTCTATTTTTCTTTGATTTTCGAG